ATCATCATCATCATCATCATCATCATCATCATCATCATCATCATCATCATCATCATCATCATCATCATCATCATCACTCATCTTCTAACGCTCGGGCCTCTTCTTTCTCCTTATAGTACTTTTTCTTCCTTATACTTCTACTAAGGGTGAGTATTTTGATAAAGAAGAAATTACTCTTTAAGTTATTAAAGAAATATTTCAAAGGGGCAAAACTCTATTAAAAAGTCGTCAAATTTTTTACAAGAAAATTCCTCGAGTAGCTCTTTTTATAAGGTTTTTAATTCACATACCGAGTAGTGATGGTTGCAGTTGGCAGAAAATTCGCGTGTAACACGACAGTTTGGGTTGACATAGTAAACTTGTGCAACTTTGAGGTTTGATCTCTCCATGGTAACGTGAGATATCAACAAAATGACTGTGTAGAGAAAGGTCTTATTGTTTTCTTGGTGTTACATTTCCATTTTTGGAGTGCTAAAGAATCTACAAGACCAATAAAAAGTTGCGGGACTAGGTAGGTGTCTTGCACTATAGATTAATTGAAATAGACATTGAGACAAGGCGGAATTACACTTATTTAATGATTGAAAGATTCGTTGATATAAGATATATTATTGAGTGTTTAGTTAATAATAATTACAAAGAATTGCAATATTTACGTTTAACCACATCAGATTGGGAGATCTTAGAACCAATATATGAAGCAACCAAATTATTGTCATCGTCTTCATATCCAACAATGGATGATGTACGATTAGCTTTTATTGGTATATTCATCACACTAAATCATCTTAATGCACAACTAATTGGGTAGATGAAGATTCTCCAGTTTCATCAATTAATGTTTCATTAGGTTTACTCAAAGATTTCTCGAGTAATCAATGTCTAATGATTCACTGGATTCTTTTTTCTGTTTATCTTCTTATTTTTATCAAGATATGATAATTGTTAAAGCAAAGTTGGTCACCTTCTTCTAAAAATTATATTTATTTTTATAATTAATTACTTATTATTAACATCGAACACATTGCATAATCACCACAACTATTGTAATAGACATGATACGACAGGGAAAGGATTAAATAACAACAAAAAGATAAATGTAAATGTTATCAGAAAATTGCATGGAAATAATTGACTAGTATTACTATTCTTTGATCATTGATATATTATTTTGTGTTTTCACTTGTCCTTATATGCTTTATATGGGATATCCTGCGACAAAACCAGACACAAAGTGTCAATGGGATGGATCAAAATTAGTACTTCAGTTTTGGATTTCAAAAAGAAAATTTTCGATTATTTATATATTAAATTGGTTTATTTGTGATGATGGATCAAATATAATAATAATATTGATACAATTTTAAAACTAATATTTTTGTGTAAAAAAATAACTCTTTGCACTTGTCCATGTTCCAGCTGTTGCTGCGCATATCAAGGATGCGGTTGTTGCTGCTTTTATACCAGCTATAAATTATATATCCAAAAATAATTGATAAACAAGAAATAAGATTAGAAATAATTAGAAATTAGAAATAAAAGCTAAATCTTGATTGGACTTTACCTGTGGATTTAAATATTACACCTACTAAAGCACCTGAAGCAACATTATTTATAGTATCATGCCTGCCTCTCGTTGAACTTATTATACCATTAATAGTATTATAACCCATTGCTTATTTTATTAATCCATAAGAATAAAAATAATAATAAAATAATAATAATAATTAGAAATATTTGTAAACAAAATCGACTATTTTATTTAAAATATTTCTCTCTTTTTTAATTACCTACCCAGTATCCCACAAGAATTTCCAATGAATGGACCACGTCTTGTAATTGAATTAAGTATCGTGTTTAATCGTAATTTAAAATTTGGCATATTTCCACGAAAACCTTCCATCAGGCCCCAAACACCTCCAAATGATAAACCTTAAAATAAAAATCATTTTAGAATAAAAAAAATTAATGAATAAGCACCTAAGCTGGTAGCAATTCTAACAATTGCTGTTGTAATAAGAATAGTTTATTATAATAATTCACCTGCTAAATATGTTGTTCCAGTACCATAACATAAGTCATCCATAATCCCACGACTTGGAATTGCACCAGGTGTAACTACATTATCGTCAATTTTCAAATAATCAATAGAACCAAGACCAGCAATTTCTTTGATGTGAGAAGAGCCTAAATTGACTCTATTCAAAAAATCCGATACTGCTACTGTATCTGCTGGATTTGTGTTAAATATTGAATCATTATTATAAATGTTATTGGAAGTGTTTGGTGATAAAGTTGACATTTTCTACTTTTTTAATATTATTGTTGTCGTTATTGTATTGTTATTTATTGTATTTATTGTAAAGAAGAATTTTGGGAAGAAAATAAGGAATCTTGATAATTTTTTTTTATGTATTACGTAATAACAACAATTTGTCATACATTCAATTTAAAAATTTTTTTTGAATGTGTCACTTGACTTTACACTTTCCCCTCCCTAAAAACAATGCTAGGTCGCGAACGTAAAGAATCACTTGACGGTGAAAATTTCAACGAGAACAAGCAACAGGGTTCTAAAAGTAAGTTATGCATTGCAAATATTTTGAATCAGTAGTATCGCTGATTGCTAGATTTTTCTTCTTAACAATACTCGTATTTTCTGCAAAGGAGCGAGTTTTCTCTTTACAGGCCTCGTAAATCTCAAACAGCAAAACAAAAAGACTTGTACAACAAAGATTGTTTTTAACCGTTTTTTCGCTGAACCTAATTTGACATCCATCGTTGGATAGCTCTGTCAAGCGCATGACATATATGTCATTCGAAGCCAGCCATCCCATTAATATTTATATCCTTTATCTTCTTAACTTCCAATTTCTGTACTTGATTATAACCATTTCATGCAATTGATATAACTGATATAACATTGACATGATAATTAGAAAATAAAATTTTTTCTGGCCAATCAATATTATAAATACAGCATATACATAAATATAACAATTAGAAAAAGTTAACAATTAAAGCTGCCTTGTACAAAATATAAATATAAATACAATTGAAAATCATCCAATTTCCAAAAGTAAATTTACATTTTAATTATTTTTTAAAAAATACAATAATAATAATATCACTACTAATAATAGTATTACTGAGGATCATCGAGAAGAGTTTGATTTTTCATAGTTGCATTTTCATTTATTATAGGAGATGGTGAAATCCACAACAACAATATTGATAATGATGACAATATGATAAGCTGTGATGATAATGGTGGTGGTGGTGATGCGAAGTTCATATCTTTGTAATACCAATATGGTAAAGAAATTATGAGACCACCAGACCAAGAGAGCAATGAATGATTTGCCTATTGTCAAAATTACTAAGGAACATATTGATTCTTTATCATCTTGTTCAATTTGTTTGGATAATTTTCAAATGAATCAATGACAGTGGCAATAATGCTGTTGCTGTTGTTGATGATATTAACATTAGTAGTGATAATATTAGTGATAAAAAACGAAATTAAAACAAAATGAACCTGCATATATTCTTTATTAACAAGGAATTCAACAATGATTATGATAACAGTAGTGATAATCATAATCATTATGGTGGTGATGATTGATGCATGTCGGAATCGCAAGAGCCTGGCCAAGATCTGAAAATTTTTGAATATTCCAAGCCTCAGTTGAAGGATTGACATAATCAGCAGCCCATACAAAAAGAACATCACAGGAAAGAAGCTCAAAATAAACAACACCATTATCACCACATCCTCAATCACAACCTCAATCATCTTCCCCTTCACAATCACCACCACCATCATCAACTGTCTCACCTTGATGGACTTTGTAACAACCATAGCCTTGCTTTTCCCAATCTCACTTGAATATCCAAAATCACATTCATTTATCCTGCCAGTTATGTAAATTAGTACAGCTGATGCAGGAATCAATTTTCGTATAAAAGGTCATGCTCATAGAGGTGGTGGCAAGATGAGGGAGCAAGCATCATAGTGCCATTGGAATTACTAATGGCTGTTGATCCTCGCAAACTTGTGACAGTGTTTCCAATATAATAGGCTTATGCGATTCTATAGAATTATCAAAGGCAAGATCACTAGTGAGTGTCAAAGTATATGGTGCTATTGAGTGTGTCAACCCCATCATGTGTTTCATTCAAGTGTGGCTACACTATAAAGTCATTCAACATTGCTCTCAACTTCTCATTTCACATTACCATCCTTCTCAAGAACCTACACACCTGCACAAACCATTAACACCAGTCAACATTTCTTCAACACGCACTCTCAATATTGAAAAGATCCAACAGGAGCTTCTCCTGGTCAGGGAGATTTAATATTAATCGGGAAATATTAATCGGGAATTAATAAGAAGGATTATTAAATCATTCAAACATATATTAACATACTTGTAATTTGTTTAAATATAGATATTTTTACATAATTTCTACATATACTTATAATCATTATCATATAGTAATAATTCTTATAAATTTAATAATTATTATTTCATCTTTTGCTGGTTGCAGACAAGAACATTTTTCTGCACTTTTAAAATATTTTTTAATTACATATATATGTGATATAAATACAAATAGTATTAACTACTTCCTACTAAAATATGTGATATTACAATACAATGATATAATATTTTCTTTTCTTCATTAAAGTTTAGCTTTGATATTATTATTTACAGTTGTAATTTCATCATATAACAAAGTAGTGATAAAATCTGAATAATCTTTACCAGTGATCTGATTTGCCAAATATCGTTTTGCCAAAATATACTTTGTACTACCAAATTTCTTGGGACCAAACTGTCTTTCCAAGTTTGCAACTTCTTCATCAAGCAATTTAAGCAGATATTCACCTGTAATAACTTTACCCTCAGTAGTTCTAGCACGATGTCTAGCCCATTGCCATAATTGAGATCTTGAAATTTCAGCGGTTGCGGCATCCTCCATAAGATTATGAATAGGTACACAACCCAAACCACGAAGCCATGATTCAATATATGTAAGACCAACTGAGATGTTGTTGCGAATACTTGCTTCAGTGATTGAGCCAGGGAAATTTGTGTTGAGTAAGTCCAATGCATTAACGTTGACATCTTCACGTCTAATAAAAATTTGATTTGGTGTTTTCAAATGTTCATTAAACACGTCTAATGCGATTTTAACAAGATCAGGATGTGCAACCCAAGTTCCATCATGTCCTGCCTTAACTTCACGAAGTTTATCAGCTCTGACTTTGTCCATGGCAATCTTATTAGCTGCTGAATCATTTTTGATAGGGATTTGTGCTGCCATGCCACCCATTGCATGTACACCTCTACGGTGACATGTCTTGATCAATAGACGTACGTATGAATCCATGAATGGAACCGTCATTGTAACATCTGAACGACTTGGTAAAACAAAGTTTGGATTGTTTCTGAATTTTTTGATCGTGGAGAAGATGTAATCCCACCGACCACAATTAAGTCCAGCAGAATGTTCTCTCAATTCATAAATTATTTCATCCATTTCAAAGGCTGCAAGAATTGTTTCAATCAATACAGTGGCACGGATTGTTCCTCGAGGAATACCAATAAGATCTTGTGCGACATTAAATACATCATTCCAAAGTCTTTTATAATTTATTAATCATAGAAAAAAAATTTTTTAAATAAATAAGGTTTTACTTTTAATCAAAGAAAAGAAATTAAAGTAAAAATTACGAATAATAGAAACCTTGCTTCCAAGTGTGATTCCATTTTAGGTAAATAGAAATAAGGTCCAATACCTACTTCAACAGATTTTTTAGCATTATGGAAAAAATATAAACCAAAATCAAAGATTGATGCTGATAGTGGTTCATTGTCAACCAAAACATGTTTTTCATCTAAATGCCAACCACGAGGACTATTCAATATGTAATATGCATATATGAAAAAAATAAACACGAAAACAAAACGTTAGAAATATAATTTCTTTTAACACATTAATTGGATTGAATTGAATTGAATTGAATTGAATTGTAAATTACCGAACAATTAATGTAGCGATCTTTCCATCTTTTCTTAATTCATATTTCTTATTATTGCCAGGATTAACATAAGTGATTGTTTTTCGGATTGCATCACGTAAATTTACTTGACCATCAATATTATTGGTCCAAGTTGGAGCATTGGAATCTTAATGATAAAAATTAAAATAATAATTATAATAATAAAGATTGTCAATATGAATTAAAATTATCAAAAAAAAAATTTTTTTAGAATGAGAAAATCACCTTCAAAATCTGCCATATAAGTATAAGCACCACTATTCAAAGCATTGATAACCATTTTCCTATCAACAGGGCCAGTTATCTCAACACGCCTATCAACCAAACCAGGTGCAGGATAGGCACCACGCCAACTATCATTTTCCCTGATATAAGCAGTTTCAGGTAAAAAATCTGGAAGTATACCACGATCTAATTCCTGTTGTTTAAGAATACGTCGTTGAAGTAAAGCTTTTCTTGTAGGGTTAAAAGCTCTATGGAGTTTTGCTACAAACTCTAAAGCATCTGGTGATAATATTTCATTATATTGTTGACTAGTAACTGGTGCAAGTACTAAAACACCTGGAGTAGACATTTTTATTAAAAAAAATTTTTTTTGAGTTAAAAAGTAGAAAAAATTTTTTTTTGCAGATTTGTTTATAAAACAACAACTTAATAGATATGGGGGTCTTTCAATAGAAACGAGGACAACATCGGAAATTTTAAGTTGATACTAATACCAATACCTTATTTATTATATGTGACTCCTTTAGGTATTAGTATAACATTTTGGCTTAGAACTTTGAACAGGACCCCGAAAACTATATAGGTAGATTCCTGCCGCAGCCGAGTCAAAGCGATGATTTTTGATACAATTTAACATTTACTACATATTATTATTATCTATAGTCCAAAAGAATTATAAAAAAAAAAAGCAACTAAAATCAATTTCCAAAAAGGGAATAATAATAAAAGAAAGGAACCTTTACTTGCAATGTGAACTTTTTATTCGTAGATGCATCATGTCACCATAACATTTTTTTTTGGTCTGTTACACGAATACCAGTCGAGACAATTAATGAAAATAACAGTGTATTTAGTTTTGGGTATTTGAATCGAAACTCGTTATTATTTTCTTTTATTCAAGAAAAGTTATTGTTTATATATATAATGTTTTCACTAGAGGATTAAGTCTACTTTATCAACTTTTGACGACGTTGTTTACTAAGTCTACTATTGTGCCTCGTCGACCAATACAAATTAAATAACGCACGTCGAAATACAATCACGGGCAAAAAATAAAATTTGACTTGGGTTAAACAAACAGTAAATATTTTGTAAAATGCACTGTTAAATAAATTCATACTAATTCAACAAATAATTTAATGACTTGTGAGTTAAATGATCTTTAAAATTGTGGTTATTTTTATTTTTTATAACATTAAATAATGAAGATATTTTATCTTTAATATCAACCAGTTTTTAAAAACGGTATTTTGGAACCGAACCAGCACAACCTAATGTTATTTCTTTCAGACCATTTTGGCACAAAGGATTTTAAATTTATCCGCCTTCGAGCAAAATCTCATCGATCAATCGAATATCCATACCTTTATATTGTCACCAACTATTATTCGGGAGAGAGTATTGATAAGTGTAAATTTATGATTATTTGGAACAGAATGAATTGGCTATTAGTTTTTATTGGCGAATAATTTTGGTAAGAAAATTTATTTAGTCGAACCTAATTTATTAACCTATTTATAAGTTAACTTATTACAAAATTAAACTTTATCACAAAGTCATTTTAAAAGTATGAAAAATTCAAGCTTCTTATATATACAATTAAATTAGCTAGTAGCAATTCATTGCGATCTAGCATTCAGCACTTTAATTACGATCCTTTTAATTCCGAAAATAGACTAATACTAAATAAAGTTAATGTTAATATTGAATCGCGTAACACCTAACGCTACTTTATCCTGTAATATAAAATCACTTCAATTATTATGCATTAAAAAAATATCCAACATGAAAAAATGTCATTCTAGCGACGAACGATGAGTAATGTAGTTTGACATGGTGAGCAAGCAAAGATTAGGACTAACGCTGGTTAACTAGCGAGTGTTAACAAGGTATTGTCTAAAGGTATTGGTAGTGCTGCTGTGATCGTTAAACAAACTGCTCAAGTTGTTTTGAAAGCGAATTTGCAGTGGTCAAGTAAAGAGAAACGACTAAAGTAATCGGTCATAAGGAATTTCATAGAAGCCTTCTTTATTTATTTGATACGGTTAAATAAATAAGCTTATTAATTGACAAGCACCAAATTATTGTGAATTCCTTGCAATTAACTGATAAAAGAGTAGATGGTCCAACAAATATGCCATACATGTTAAATAATAGGTGTTAGTTGAAATGCTACCTTGAAATATCACCAACCATCCATTTAACAAGAATTAAAAAACTATGAAAAATTATCATTTCAAACATTGTTATAATTTAGCTTTAAGAAACAAGATAATGAATAAATTTATAGTCGAGGTTAAATTAGTCACTATTGTTATTATTATTACTAGAATATAATGTTTTTTCATTGATTAAATCAGAATAAAAACTTTGCAACTCTGCTTTACGACGAGCAAGTTTGTCAACATCTGATTTAATTGCCTAAGTGAAAAAGTCAATAATAAAATTAATATTGTAAATTAACGCATCAATATGTATATCTGCATGTAATATGATGACGATGATACCTTTACTCTCTGTTCAGCAGCAATCTTTTCCTGCCCTCTCAATAATTCAAACGAGCTGTGTTGAATAATTGCTTCATTAATGTCGTTGGATAATTCTAAAATTTTCTGTTTCAAATTTTGAGAGCGACCCTATAATTGCAATTAATAACAAATGATATTAATATATATATACTCGATTGATTAAAATTTAATGAATAATTAATTATGTTATAAAATAATTTTAATATTTACAATATATCCACCCAGAATGATACCTAGCCTTTTCTCGATTTTCGTTGCTTTTGATGCATCTTTAGTCATATTATCTTTCTGTGCCTATTATGTAAAATGAAGTTACGATATGAGATAAAGTATTCAAAAAAAGTGTTAATCTAATTTTAAGATTTTATATTACCAAGAATTGGGTTTTCAATGTCTTGATATCATTATCATACTCTTCTTTATAATCAAACGATAAATCCGCAAGATTTTCTGGAGGTTTGGGAATATTATCCAGCTAATTTCAATATATATGTATGTGTGTATAACAATAATCAAATTAAATCAATATAAGCTTCAAGTATTAATATTAAGGAATTAAAAAAAATTACCTCTTCTAATATTGATTTATACTCCTCAGACGACATCACTTCTTGTAATTCTTCATCTGTAAATAACGTTGATTCCTGATAGTTCTTTTCAAGATGTTTATTTCCAAAACCATCTTTGTTCACTATATGTATAATTTCTTGAGAAATCAATTTATCAATTTCAGAAGATTCACCAACTAAAAGTTGATCAAAGATAGATTCTGTAGGCTCTGGCAAGTTGAATTTAATCCTTCTCTTTATTTGACTCATATTAGCTTGCTCTTTTGATTATTTAATTACCGCAAACCAAGGATAAATATATGTGTGTAAAAATAAATATTTGAATTTTTTGAAAAAAATGTATATGAAAATATAATATTTCAATAAATAAATTACCTTGTTCTTCAAGTTGAGCTTTAAGTAATTTTTCTCTATCACTGGCGTCAAGTGTATCCATTTTATCATCGTCCTCACCTGAACTTTCATGATCTTTGGCATTAGGCCAAACAATTTCAAAATCATTTTTTGGAGCGGGCAAGCCTAACAATCCAGCCTTTAATCGTTTAAAAGCTGCAGGATCAGCTATAAGTTAAATATATATTAGAGTCATTGTAATCATTTTTTTTAAATATATTTAAAATAAATAAAATCAAAAATAATAATTATTTAAGTATTTAAATCAAGCATACTGATAGCAGGAGTTCTTGGAGTCTTTGAAAAAATAGTTGCAGGTGTTTTAGGAGTTTGGGTCATTCCAGAAATAGCTCTTGGCGTCCTTAATGGTAGGCTAGAAGCGCTTGGCGTATAACCAGCAAGTGTAGTAGAGTTACCAGTTTCTCCCACAATGGCTTTGGTGTTTTCACCAGCAAATCCAATTTTTACAATCTATAATAAATGAGATTATTGTATAATTTAAATTAAATTTTTGTTTTTTTTTTTTTTTCCAAAAAATAAAGCTTAGGAATTCATAATAATAATGTAATTACTTCTTCTAATTCATTATCACCAACTTGAGGAGATGGAAGTACAAGTTTTCTTCTCCTACTAATTTGTTCAGCTTGTTTTAATTTGTTTAATTGTGAATTACGAGCAGGGACAAAACTTATTGCTTTTCCATCTTCATTTTTATGATTCTTGAACTTTTTCTTGTTTGATTCTTCTTGATCCTCAAGACCTCTTTTTCCCTCAAGTTTATGAAGATGAACATTTATAAGACCAGATTCTAGCCTACGATCTTTTTCTTCTGTAGTATCGTAAAAACCCATTGCTGGTCTTTTTTCAAATGGAATATCAGCATTATAATCCATTCCTTTTTTCTTTTTCTTTATCTTTAAATCAATACCAGCTGCCTTTAATTCACGTCTTTTTTGCATCGTTGCCAAACGCCTTGCCTCTTCAAGTTGCTTTTCACGAGCTTTACGCTTGGCTTTCTTTCCTTGAGTATTCGCAAGTCTAGCACGTGCTTCAGATAACATTTCCTTTTCTGTTTATTGAAAAGAAGATATATATATTAAATGTTTTTTGAATTGAAAAAAAAACCTCATTAAAATAAAAAGATGTTTACCATCCTCGTCCATATCAATAGGATCTGGTCTTGCAGGTTTAGTTTCTGGATCTGGATCGATTTCACCTGGTCTTAATTTTCTAACATCATCTGCACTTGGACCAGCATCAGTTGATGAACCTTTTCTTTCTTTTGCTTCAGCTTCATCGAGTAATTTCGCATATCTTTCAAGACATTGTGCTGGGGTTCTTCCAACAATTGGCGCGATGGTACGCCATTGTGTAGGCATTAACTTGGCAAGATGAAGAAGTTTTTCATCTTCTTCCTTTGACCATTCAGTCTATACAAAGCAAGATTTGATGAGGTTAATAAATATATTTCTTTGCTGTAGCAAGTATAACATGTATATACTCTTTTTTACCTTTTTAATGCTTGGATCCAACCATTCGTACCACCTTGCTTTACACTGTTTAGGCGACTTTCTGACTAATAGAGATGAAATTCGCGCCCACTGATTTTTTCCATATTTACTAACAGCTGCCTTTAAAATTTCATCTAAAAATACAAGAGCAAAATTTTTAGAAAAAATAAGTAAAATTCAAACGAAATAATAGAAATTTTGGAGAATTTTACCTTCAGTATTCTTCCAAATACCACCTTTAATTATAATTTTCATTTTTTTTTTTTAAAAAATGAAAAATCCTATTTTTTGATAAAAAAGGATTTTTAATGTTTCACGAAAATGGTTGCGTTGTTATCATTGATCATGATTAATTTCACAAACATACAGTCGGAAAATAATTTTTTGATTGTTTTCATGATTAATTAATTGATTGATTTCATGATTAATTTCACAAACATACAGTTGGGAAATAATTTCATCACAACCATACAGTCTGAAAATAATTTTTTGATTGTTTTCATGATTAATTACAGTCAGAAAATAATTTTGATTGATTTCATGATTAATACAATCAGAAAATATTTTTATAAATATTAAAAAAATTTATCTTTTTCAAAGTCAAAAAACATTTTTTGAAAAATAGTGTTTACTCTTTCACAATTATATTCAATTTTTAAAAAATATAAATTTTTATTAACTTTTATGCAAACTTCTGACCACCATCACAAGCAACTTCTTCTAATGTAAAAAAATATAAGCCATTCTGGGATGAATTCACTCAAAAACTCACAAATTGGTGTTGTTTACCCCTAAAAACTAATAGTGAAGTATTGTGCTCAAGTCAATGGGGTGACTCTTTAAAAAGACTAGCCCTTGGTTCATTGGTTACAGCTGACTCAATTAAACCAACACCTATAGATTTAAATAATCATTCCCTTTTACCAAATGGAATATGTAATAATTTCAAAGACGCGATTTCTTCCAAAGAAAATTTAACTTTGCCATCTTCTTTTGATGCTGATGCTATTCCTTCATATTCAGCCTCCTCCTCCAAAAAACCTCCAGCAGGGAAAACTCATAAAATTAGACTTTACCCTAATTCAGAGGAAAAAAACAAACTATTAAAATGGATTGGTACTGCGCGCTGGACGTACAACCAATGCCTAGCTGCAATCAATAGTGATATAAAAAACAAAAATAAAAAGTATTTACGTGAAAATTATATCAATAATAAAGCTGAAAAATTTAAAGACATTAGTCTTAAGTGGGTTCTTGACACACCTCATGAC